CAGAATATAGTTTTAATCTAATCGTATTAGAATATAAATACTTCAGCGTGCACATTCTTTATTTATATCTAATGAAGGTTTTGACCTTAATTTCTTTTCTTGCCCAATAATCATATAAATAGTCTTGTTCGGATTAATGGCCAAGTTGTCTAGTTTGCACCATTTATTTATATTACCAATGTCACATTGTAGGGTCCACAATTATCCTATGTAGTTTGTTAACTTTGTTTAGTTAAATTAACTATAAATACCTGTTTCTAGCTTATTCAATAAGAAAATATACAGAGGATCCGAGTTATAATTGTTGTCAATGATATTATAATCAGACGTACTTTTATTCAATTTACAGGAAAGTAATCCCATTTACACTGTTCTAAATTGCATTTAATAATTATGCTGCATGTATGTAATTGATCATTCCACACGTTTCTGTCCCTTTTTTCCCTACCGGTTACGGTATCTACAATCAACAGTATTATGGTTTTTCGTACCACATACTTTATACATTTAAGGTTCTCTCCGGGATTTCCAGTTTCCATTTATCCATTGTTTCTCTCCCTGTGTGTTCTGTGTATCTTAATGATGTATGTTTCATCTTTACAATACGAACATAAGCGTGATCTAAAACGAATAAGCGTCATATAAAACGAATAAGCGTGATACAAAAACGAATAAGCGTGACCTAAAAACGAATAAGCGTGATATAAAACGAATAAGCGTAATCTAAAAACATATAAGCGTGATCTACTGCATCGTTCGAACGTAACCGTTAAATAACCCCGGTAACTGCGGATTAATCTACTGTCATAAAAATATCATCGTTTCAGTTTATTTTATTATAATAATATTATTACTTTATTTTCGACAATTGTGCACAACATTTACAGTACCGATAACATGGGTAATGATACGCACATTTTAACATATTTAGTTACACATTTTGGGTTGTTATTGTACAGTATTGATAAACAGCAAGCGAAGGACATAAAATGCATAAAAACCAATTGTTATAATTAATTTACAACCAATATCAATATGATGTGCATTCGGCCATCGGATTCCTTTAATAAACAAGTACAAATGTTGCTGCAATGCAGCAATTGAGAAGCTCCGCGCAAAAAATGCGCTCATTACAGATTCCTTACCAAATTATTCCTACGCACAGGTCAGGTTATAATCAGATTAAGTACTATTGTACTTAATCCGAATGTTTTGTAAATCATTTTTTACATAATTATACTTATCGTATGCACTGTACATAAGAAAGGGGCCAAATATTTTTTTTTAAAGTATGCTTTCACTGATGCCAACCTATTAAGGAAAGTAATTGCACCGAATACAAATAAGACTTACAAGACTTGTAAATGTAATGTGACATGGCAGTAGTGCAACATTATTCTGTTTGTGTCACTACTGTAGTCAGTAATATAAGATGATAAAAATTTCAAAGCATTTCGCCTATAATCCTACTCACTTTCTACAAATAACAACTACTAATCATGGTAAGAAATATGTAAATCAGCCAAATGGACTTTACTTTTCAAAACGTCTTTTGCATGTTTCGCGGCAAATATTGATAATGATATAACAAGAAAAGCATTGATGCAAAGCCAAGCAAGAAATGCAGCAAATGACGATGAACTAGTAGACATATGATGACTAGATATTCTTATAAAGTGTTCATCGGTTAATTGGATTTTACCAGAATTGTATATCATAGATAAATAGGAGGACAAAAGACATTGTTCATCATGAACTTTGGTAGGTTTGCTAGAGATTAGAATATTAAATGGATTTTCTTTGGAACATACAAAACAGTATTCAAAATGAGCAAAAGTATGTTTTATTATTATAATTGTAACAAATATACAAGAAGTGACAAAAGGGACGAATATAACATGCATTTTTATGTCAAATTAAAAAATATGGTTTCTTTTAATACCTGGGATTTAAGGTACAGTAGATATATTTCAAGTCCCAGATAAATACTGAAAGTAGAACACACACTTGAAGTAAAAAAATGGGATGAATTTCAAAAAGACCAAATTCAGGAAGTTTTGTTTGTTATGCACGATATATGGTGATACATTATTTATCAATATAATGGAAGACTGTTGCCTGAATTTTAGTCAGGCATGAGTAAATTCACTAACACCATGTTCGTGTCATTCAAATATATAAAAGCTGCTTTTAATGGATTTATTGGGAGATCAAATTTCTATTATTTTTTAATTGCTTCAAAACCCTCTGTGTTTACATTCCTAAAAAAACCATAACACCTCATGTTCACACTGCAGACGAAAGTTTCTGTTGTTAAAATGTCACAGTATTCGGCAAATCAACATTCCACTCAAACCGCCATAAAACCGATTGCCTTCAAACAAAATAGAATCAACTTCTTACAGAAAATTTTCGAGAAATCAGGGTGGATTAAAATATTCACGGAAGTGCAATTAGGGCCGTAAAAAAGGAAAGGAGCTATATTACCGGAAAGAACCTACAGAAAAGACAAGTTCAAAACGATAATACATGTACTATGATATAAAAATTCGTAAAAAATGGCCTACTTAAAGTTTTTCGATAAATTCATAAAGAGTGCAATTTATTGTTAAATATTTTTGCATTTCATTTCCTGCAAAATTCTCCAAATTGTTATATATTACCATAGCGCGACACGAATGACCATTTCGTTTTGACTAAAACTACTTCTATAAATAGATTTTTGGACTTTCAAAATGTTAAGGTCATCTAGCTAGTTCTTGATTCCGAATTTATTTTTAGCTGTAAATCGAAGGGATTAATTGATAAAAAAAGTCGGACCCATGGACAAAAAAAGTAAACACAAATAGCTCCTCGCCTGTGGGCGCGGAGCAATAAACTTCAAATCATTTCGCAACATTTTATGTTTGGAGAACCAATTTCTTTGTTTAAGTTGTTTTGATTTTGAAGTGAGGCCATTTCTGATCATATTACTGAGGTAGACAACATATAGTTATGGACGTAGTTTATAACAGCAAGGCCTCAAAACAGTTCTTTCTGTTGTGATATATACATATTGTAATAACATGCGTTGTTCTTATTCTAACTAGATGCATGTATCAAAAATTCATTATTTTTACGACAAATAATGCGAAAGTCGATATTTTCTAAGAAATACACCTATATGACATTTACGCAAATTATTTGCCAAAGAACTTTCATATTCGGTGGATTTCAGACATATCAATAATGATCGTGTGTTTTAGCGTCGTTGATATTGTCTCTTCTGTTTGTCTATTGAAAAAAAACGTATTTATCCTTCAACAGATAATGTGAGCTTAACGTTATAATGTATAGATAAATGAAATGGATATTCAAAGTATAACAATCACCAATAGTTGTTCCACGTATACGCAGATGACAGCCTAACAACAGTTTCTACTTGTCGATTATTTCATATCAATTATTGAAAGTGTTAAATTCGTTAGGAGAGAGTGAGATTTTTCTTGATAAAGATTTCCTCTCTTTTAATTTCCCCAATTACAGATAGCATTATATTAAAAACTGTAAATCACGGACATTTTCTTGTGTCGGAATGGTGATCGAGATGACGTAATGAGGTATGATTGTTATAACTTTTTTAAGAGGAATATGCAATTTGAAAGTATCTATAATGGTTTCAACTAGTTCACGTATTCTGTTCAGAAATAACTTTTCATCATTAGCTAGATTATTACCTTCTCTGTATAGATTCATCTTTCTCAGTCGTATTGTTTATTAGTAATTTAAAGAACAATATTAGTGAAGATGTCAACTTTCCTTAATTTGATGGAAGCATTTTGATTTAGGCAGGCGAGGTGGGTGGTAGGAAGAGCTCATATAAGATCCAAAAACCTAATTTCATTAAGTTGAATTTCTTACTTAGATCAAGCGTATTTTGTACTGTTCTCAGCCCGATTTGAGTGAAAAGCGTTGGAACGTTTTTCATCTTAGGGCCAGTGTGCACAAATGGAATAATTTTCTGGAAAAACGGAGTGAGTGAACGATCTGAAATTTCGCAAACACGTTTTTTTATCGGTCTTTACCTACACCAAAAGGAACATTAATGTCAACAAATTATTTCCAGTCACAGCCCGTTGTATATCAATTATAAATGTCACTTGTTTTCGGATTATAATGAGTCTAGACGAATTGCGCATGATTTAAAGTCATGGCAAGCAAAATTGTTTTCATAATAATGTCTTTTTATACTTTTATCAGAAGCCTATCTACATGACGTATATTTATATATATATAAACTGATAGAGAATTTGCTGTCAACAGTTGTCACAATATTTGCTTATAAATACAGTTTTTTTGCATGTTTACATCCAAGCTTTACGGCTTGCCAACCGTAAATACACTGCAAAAGAATCATTTTTACGGTATTTGACCGGGTGTAAACGATTTTATAGCAGCAAACGCTTTCAAAACTTTGTGACATGTTTTATTGATCATGGAAAATGACTACAAAACAAATTTACAAAGAAAACATACAATTATATTCTGTTAACAAAGTAATGGATTACACAAACTAACATCACTTACCCCTGGTAATGTAATATAAATGGCTGTAGTGTTAACTAGGAATATCTAACCTTTATTTTAAAGAGTTGGTAAAAAAATGAGGTAAAAGTCCGTAAATAACGCTGAGTAGTCTCTAACAATTATATTTTAGTATGGCTATGTGCAATGTTTATGCTTAAGTTTTATGTATTGTTCAATGAAAGATTAAAGAAAAACATATTGTATCCTTTTTGGTTACCGGTTACATCTACCTGATTAAATTATAAATATACTATTTAAGCTTAATTAAAATGAGGTCCATGATTAGATATCTAATAATTTTATGAATATGGTCTATAAGCAATCATCGGAATACTAGTACATTAATTTAGATACATTGGTAAATACTTCAAAATACATTGTCTTATAATATAGCACTATTACAAATTCAAATATAATTATATTTCAGAGCTGAAAAGACAGGAAGTAAACTAGTATTTATTTGAATTGCCTGAAGCCTTCTGGTTGATTGACGGATGACATAGAAAAATATACTATAGTAGACTGTAAGTGTAACAGTGATATATATCGTAATAAAATGATTTAATCTAGTTAACGTTTGTATATCATCAAAATTAAGATATTGGATGCACACAAATTCCACTTATATCAATCAGTTCTAGTGAAAATTGTGAAAAGTGAAGACATTGCTGACATATTTATATGGATACAATCAGTATTGTTTATATCAGTGCGGAAGTGATTATTGGCGTGACCTCGTGCGGCGGAAATGGATTAGTTCTATTAGCTATTTTAAAACATCGCAGACTGCAGACAGTTACAAACTGTTTCATTGGTAGCTTGGCGTTGGCAGATTTTTTAGTTGGGGTCGTCGTCGCTCCATTGGCAGCTTTAAGCTATTTAGGACTACCTCATGATTTTTCTGGCTGTGTTTTTACAAATTCGATTGTTGTTGCATTCACACAAGTGTCTATTTTTAACTTGTTAGCCGTGGCATTTGAGAGATATTTTGCGATCAAACATCCGTTTGCATACACGAAGCATCTAGATATTAAGCTGTCTTTGCTAGTAAATGCTGGAGTATGGTTTCTAGGTATGATTATCGGATTGATACCATTGTTCGGATGGAATCTTGAGGACAAACGTAACGAAAACTGGACTTGTAATTTTGAAACTGTTATAGACATGGAATATACAGTGTATTTCCATTTCTTTGGATGTATTGTGATACCTTTGATTATTATAATTGCTATATATTGTTATATTTTCATAATTGTGCGGCAGCACATGTCTAGGATTACAGCTTTGACTATCCCATCGCCGCAATACAGCAGGTCAAGTAGTTTAACAAAATTTAAAAAAGAAACTCAAGCCGCAAAATCACTTGCTATTGTTATTTTATTATTTGCAATCTCTTGGATTCCAATACATGTTCTCAATACTATAACGTTGATGTGCACAAATTGTTCTAGCCCAGTAGAACTTTTACTAGCAACGATAGTGCTGAGTCATGCTAATTCCGCCATAAACCCGTTCCTATATGCATACAGTAATGGTAATTTTAAAAGTGCATTTAAGAAAATGTTTTGTTATCAGACAACTAATGAAACACATACAACAGCCAATGCTGGAAATTCACAAATGCAAAGTACAAGAAGCGTGGCAAACATTTCAGGTAACCTGGATATTGACAGTCGGCAGCAGAACGTTGTAAACTTGTTAAGCTATAAGAAACTTTTTAGATAAGTGTAAATAAAAGTTAGTTCATTAAAAACTTAGTTGATTTCAATTTTATTCAACATTTGTGTTTAATTTCCCTTTGTATTCAAAGGGTGGTGTCATCCTGGCGATAAGATATTTCCTCCATTAAAATATCATTTCAATGAACCATTGCACCAATCGGAACATCTCGGCTATTATCAATAATGATCTCGGACGATGTAAACAAAAACAGGGGGTGTTATCTTTGATAATGTATAATGAATGTATATAATTATTTGACATTCAAAGGAAATAAAGCCCATTTCTGTTGCACTAAGATTAAAAATATGTCTGTCAACCATAATCAATTGAAAACTGCCCAATGACGTACAATTATAACAAAATCCGAATTAATGTCAACAGGTAGACAGTACTTTCAGTTTCTACAACCATAATAATAAGTTTTATAAATAATGTATTGTTTACTTTTATATTAATAAATACACTAAATTTAGGTGGACTTTTACTTGATATATTGGTATAGAGTTTTTTCATCAACTTCTAGCATTAAATTACTATTTGTTTACATGTTTAGTTTCTTAGCGTATAGGCTAGACTTCGAGGTCTCTAGAAGGGACAGGCTCTACACTTTATCCCATTAAAATATAAAATTTAAAGTAGTTATGAAAGAAAAGGTTACCTAGTCCTACTTTTTATATTGGTTTTCTGCTCCACGCATATCACAAAATGTCACGTGGTATAGCACCTATCTATTTTGGGACTTTCTAGCTCCCTAACTCCGAAACTTAAAGATCATTATTTAAATGCAATGTAAATTGCATGTATTGTTAATTATGCATTGTTTAGTCAACGTTTTCATAATTTGCAATTTTGATCTGATAAGACCTTTTCATCATATAAAACATGATGATATATGCAGCACAAAATATGACACTATATTCGAAAGTTTCCGTTTACATGAGGTTCACAAGAAATAACTATTAATTATTTTGTATTTTAAATGAACATAATTTTTCACACAAGAACCTCACAAAATGTTTTGTTTAACTTATTTTCATGTTTTCAATGTTTGCAGACAATATGTTGGCGTTTTTATCTTAAAAAGGTTGTGGACTGTTGAAAACGTTACTCTAATTTCGAAATCATAACAACTTAAGCATCTAATATCTTTAAAAGAAAAGCGTCTTTTGAAGTCATAGTTTTGAAAAAATAATGATGTTAATAAATCATAACTTAACACCAAAAAGCACTTATTGTGCCAAACTTCTCATTTCAAATAAAGATTCTGGCAAAGTGAAGCCATTACATGGCCAGTAGTTTGTTAGCATGATTCTTTAGATGTAGGTTTTAGAAGCATAACGTTGATTTTACCCAAATATCATAATAATTGGAAAATACAAAAATCATACACATAATGACCGTTATACAGACCCTGAATGTACGTGTTTATATTAGTACAGCTGTCGTTGAATGTATGGAAATGAATTTCAAATTTATAAATACATTCGTTTTCGTTACCCGTTATTTGAAGTACAAATATCATGTTCATTTAATCCGTTAATCAGCGGGTATTTGTTTATATGGAGTCGTATGTTATTGATGTGAATAAAAATGCTTTAATATATGATACTTACAAAAGTTACAGCTTCCTGGACAGGTCTCGGCTGCTATCTGTAGAAATTGGTGGGATGTACATAAATTATTTTCTTTCAAAAACGTGCAGTCTGTCTTTGTATCCTCACAAATACCTTTATATAAACAAAGAATATTCATATACATGTATACAAATAATAAGCTATCCAAAGTCACGTCAAGATTTCAAAGTAAAATTTACTGTAATATATTTGTGTTGCATTGGAAAGCAAGACCTATCCGCGTAATGTGCTCAGTGCTTGATAGTTAAAAAAATAGAATAGGGGGCAAATTTCTTCGAACGTGCGTAACAGAGAAAATTACCTGCTCTTAATAGCCAATAAAAAGGCAATACTTTTATTTTTTATTGAGAAAAAGGCTAAAATTGCAAGTCACAAAAATTTTAAGTTATCTGTCCTTAAAAGATGCATTCCAATTTAAAAATTCAGCAAAATTCCCAAGTTTTAAGTGATAATAGTTTTTGTATTTTCTGATCGCAGATCAGGAAATTCAATGCTGAAATTCAATCCCTGACACAGAAGCTTCACGACAAACCTAACAACAAGTAGTTCTCAAAACAGCTTAAAACTAGCGATGTAAATTCAAGAAATATTTTTATTTTGTTACAAGTATCAAACAAATTACAACGCATTCAAAGTTTAAAAGAAGCGTTGGCAATAAATTCACGCGGATGAATATGATTTTAATCAATGAAAATGCTATTTTTAGCGATGTCGATTACCGAATACCTCAGAGCGTATTACACAAATAAATCTGACTGTCGAGTAGTGGAATATATACATGTCGGACTGTTTTGGTAAGAAAATTTTCGATAAATTATTTACATCAATGTTAAACAACAGGTATATCGTGAACAAAATACCTCGAAATTAATAAGGATTAAAAACCCTGCATGGATATTCTAAAATTAGAATTATTTGATTTTATCAGACGGTTATCGTTAAAATTCTCCGTGGTGCAGGGGTAACGCGCTTGTGAAGGGTATGAGAGGTCTGGGGTTCAAATGCCAGTGGAGGCAACTTTTTTTTAAAAAGGAAGTAGCCACGAAATGCAAAGATGAAATGATAAAGTGTGGCCGTCATAAAAAAATGAACATAAATTATTTTTGATGTAACCCTAGTCATGCAAAATTCCGTATGTATCAAACTTATACAGGAAAATACATACAGATATACAGTACGATTTAAATAATACCACAGAGCTTGCTGCCCTTTGATTTTTTGAGAAATCGGACTTAGAACCAAACGAAAAATAAGTAAAAAGGTGATATAACTTTGCAAAAATGAATTTTAGGATTATCTGCCCTTCTGATGTGATGGCATAATTTGATTCTGAACATGTAAATTAAGTTTGAAGTGAATAACTTTGATAGTTAATAAAAGGATTTACCAGAACTAAAAATTTCTTTTTCTAACACTCATTTTTACTGTTGATACAGTTTGATCAATATATAATTATGCTTTTAAAAAAACATCAAAGTTTTTGTGAACATCTTATTAAACATATTTTACGGTGGCACAGAGATGAAATGTGTGTGTGTGTGTGTGTGTGTGGTGTGCGTGTGTGCGTGCGCGTGTGTGTATGTGTTTATTTATCTCGTGCGCAAGAGATACTTTGTCGTGGCCACGAGTTTCTAAGTCGTGCCGCGAGATGCTATGTTGTGGCCAAGAGTTACTAAGGATGAATGCCTTCAGTAGTTTCAAAGATAAGTGTTGCATATATATATATATAGTGTTATCTGATTGGTTATCTCGTGCTTAGTGCTTAGTGCCTCGTGGCAACGACACAGAATCTCGTGTTCACGACTTAGTGTTTATCTAACTAGCAGTAACATCAAATAATTACCGTCAGTCAGTGCTTGCTTAGCAACCTTCTATATGTTATATACGTATATAAACTTATGATAAGAAGAACGTTTTGATAACTTTGAAGGAATATTTCAGTTAATAGCCAAATGAACCATTATGTGTATTAGTATTGTGCATATAAAACTGAAAGGCTACCAAAAACTTTTTGAAAGTGGTTCAAATATAGTAAGAATAATACAAAACGAAAAAAAATAGACGAATGATAAAAAAGAATAAATTTGTTAGAAATATTGTTGCCAAGAAGAATATTTGACATTTTGCTAGTGCGAAATGCACTACATTTAGTATAGACAATAATTAAAATTGAATTGTCCTTACACAGACGTTTATAAGTCTTTATAATGGTGTCTTTCATCATATAACTGATTCATCAAAGCTGTATGTAACTTAACTGATTTACTGTCATTTTATAGTTATCATTGTTATCATGTGTCTAAACGGCCCTCAGATGGAACCCATTTATACTTTACTTACATAATTATATGACGTTTACAACCGTAAATAGGCACATATATATGTGACTGTTATACTGCCAATCACTTCGTCAATCACCAAATAGACAGAATAATTTACAGCAAAATATTTAAAGGTGTTCGGACGCCTGTCCTCTGCATTTTACTGTTTAAGTGACATTATGCTCATATTTTAATAGAAAAGTTGAGCTGAACTGATTATATATTTCAGAAGATTGACTGTTAAAATGGTGATTGACTAACAGTTCATATTGAAAATTTGTTTATAATAAAATTTAAATATGCCTAAAATATAAAAAGACTGCCCCACTCTTTTTATGAACTGAACGTTACAGATAAATTCTAATGGATATTTACGAAAAATTCGTTTTGATCCATGAGTTGTTTATTGTTAATGTGAAATAAATTTATATATTAAAATGTACATTGTGTACATGTAACTTTATTGTATACATGTAAGTTTATTGTGTACATGTAAGTTTGTTTTGTACATGTAAGTTTATTGTGTACATGTAAGTTTATTGTGTACATGTAAGTTTGTTTTGTACATCTAAGTTTATTGTGTACATGTAAGTTTGTTTTGTACATCTAAGTTTATTGTGTACATGAAAGTTTGTTTTGTACATCTAAGTTTATTGTGTACATGTAATTTTATTGTGAACATGTAAGTTTGTTTTGTACATCTAAGTTTATTGTGTACATGTAAGTTTGTTTTGTACATCTAAGTTTATTGTGTACATGTAAGTTTGTTTTGTACATCTAAGTTTATTGTGTACATTCAAGTTTATTGTGTACATGTAAGTTTATTGTGTACATGTAAGTTTATTGTGTACATGTAAGTTTGTTTTGTACATCTAAGTTTATTGTGTACATGTAAGTTTGTTTTGTACATCTAAGTTTATTGTGTACATGTAAGTTTATTGTGTACATGTAAGTTTGTTTTGTACGTGTTAGTTTATTGTGTACATGTAAGTTTGTTTTGTACATCTAAGTTTATTGTGTACATGTAAGTTTGTTTTGTACATCTAAGTTTATTGTGTACATGTAAGTTTGTTTTGCACATCTTAGTTTAGTGTGTGCATGTAAGTTTGTTTGTACATCTAAGTTTATTGTGTACATGTAAGTTTGTTTTGTACATCTAAGTTTATTGTGTACATGTAAGTTTGTTTTGTACATCTTAGTTTAGTGTGTGCATGTAAGTTTGTTTTGTACATGTAAGTTTATTGTGTACATGTAAGTTTGTTTTGTACATCTAAGTTTATTGTGTACATTCAAGTTTATTGTGTACATGTAAGTTTATTGTGTACATGTAAGTTTATTGTGTACATGTAAGTTTATTGTGTACATGTAAGTTTATTGTGTACATGTAAGTTTATTGTGTACATGTA